AAGATATATTAAGCCACGTTCCACTTGACTTTTCACTAAAGTTGATTGTACCTGGATATATAAAAAGCAGAAAGACTTAAAATATTTTCCATTATTACTTAAGATCACCAAATGTTGCAATGCCTGAGGTGTTGTACTTCGGATGAAGCATTAAACTGAGGTCCAGTCTGCCTATTTTCATGGATGTTAAAGTTCCCATGGTATTATTCAAAAAGAGAATGGTGGTGTCTCCTGGTGTCCCCAGATAAATTGTCCATTCACTTTGTGGCTGTCTGCTGGACATTGGTTTGCGCAAATTGGCTACTGTGTTTGCCTACAAATACACATTTACTGCATTTTATAGTAATTCTTGTGAAGCATGTTGAGGTATCTTGACAAAATTATTACATGCTATATCAAATGTAAGGATTATTGTATTCATTTATCTGCCGAAATGGGAGTGCTTTTGGGTTCAAGCAAAATTTGTGAAGTAACTTTAGAATCATATGGTTAACAATCAACCTCTTCACTTATGCTGCTTCACACTGCATAGATGTTTGTATCAGGACTAGGTAGTGCAGTCATTGTCCTTTCACCGAGGGACCTGGATCTGAATGTAGATTGATGTAGAAAGCTTTTCTACTGGCAGTAGAGGTCTCAGGTGAAACAAGCTTCAGCTCTTTGAACCAGTGGGTATGAGTTCAGAGCAAAAAACTGACTATAATTTCACACTAATTGGCACTAAATTGGGCAGTCTGCCTCAGAGAAGTCACAAGGTTGTCAGGTGTGGGAAATGGAAATATTACACTGGTGTAATAGGGGATGGTCTTCTGAGATTGGGCAGAGAAGTGGGAGTTTTAGCTTAAAACTAATCATCGGTATAATTGGCACTAAATCAATGTTTTAATTGACTTGGGAGTATTTCTTAATACCAGCACTGAGTGTAAAATGTAGAAACATGGCACTGATGTCGATGGCAAATAAAAATGAAAGATTCTGCCTTTTACAATATTTAATTGCCTTTCTATTTAACGTTACACCATAATTTAAGCAAGAATGGAGTTACGGAAGTAAAAAAGGAAAATTCCAAATGCTGAGAATCTAAATCTTACTACTGTATCATTTACTTTTGTTTTTTACCTAAAACCTATAAACCAGTGTTTCACAATATTTAAATCAGCTCCAGGTGGCTCTTGAAGTGTGCAATCATTTATTAACATTTTCCTAATGTGTTTTTCTCCTGGACTTGCTGTATCCTTGTGGCTCACTCAGCATGCTAGCATTCTAAATCGAATGAAGGATCATACACCTAAAACATTAACCTATTTTTTTCTTTCAACTGCTGATTGACCTGCTGTAGATTTCAAGATTTCTGAGGTGTAGAAATGTGCTCGTCTCACCAGTGATGGCATCATCTCCCCATTTTAGTTCGCATCTCATGGTGATGATATCAGAATCGTGCTGCCACTGGAACTGCACTGCAATCCGCAACATTGTTCCACATTAAATTCACAGATCCCTTTTATCATTCTAATTTGAATTGCTTCTCTGACAAGTGGTACAATAATAATAATAATAACAAGTGGTACAAGCATAAAATATGGTCAGAAACTGGGGTATATGAATAGAGTTCACTCTGCAGTCATGCTACTATCTGTAATTGACTATTTCTGAAGTTATCATCAGGTTGGTGGATTTCAATAATATTATTAATCCTTGCATTCAATATAGCATCTTATCACATTGTTGAGACATCGCAATGCACTTCTTTGTTTGAATCTGTACCTGCATCACCTGCGTTGCTCCAATGACATGAAAGACAGAAAGGAGATGTCTATATCCGGGAGTGTCTCCATGAATTTGATAGGGAGCAAACACGTTGGAAGCCATCCAGTTCATGGAAAGAATAAAACTAGTGAGAATGCAGGGACACCAACTTGGTAATATAGAAAAGTGAAGATTTTATGTACGTTTATAAAAATATGTTTTCCCATTATATCTGGGTAAAATACACGGAAAAGGACTACTTCCTTTAAATTTAATTTTTTATTTTTAAGAGACTTACCTAAGTTACTATTATGGGAAGTTTTTGTAGCCAGAGCCCATGTTTAATAATTAATAACATGGTTTGTAATGGAATGCCTAAAAAATTAAACAGAAACAAATTTGGACAAGTCAGACTTTGATCAACCATCACTTTCTATATTGAAAATACTGTATATTTTGGCATTTTATTAATATTTCCCTGCTGTTCTGGATATCATTATTCACATTTAATTGACTTGCAACATTGTTGTGACAATCCTCCTTGAGGTTAAGGTAACCAGGTCTCGCTGGGGCAGAGCTGACTTCACAATGATATGCCTGGAGAAGAGAGAGGAGCACTGAGTGAGCTCTCTGTTAATCACTCAGTGGTCCATCATTCGAGCCAGCAGGCCAGCACTACTGACTCCAAGGCACCGCTGATAATTGACTGGCCTGCCTGCTCATCAGAGGATGTGGAGAAATAGACATGTCACAAAGGAACAAAATTATTTCCACTTGGGATAACCCCTGTAAACCAACACTAATTGGTACGGTGGTACTAGCTGGACAAATGGCAGGAAACTTATCGGCTTGGAAAGCCAAACCAATAAGACCTCCTCCCAATGTGAAAGACGCTATACAAATGTAATTTGTTGTTGTTGGTAAGCTATATGGTTGACAATGTCGCATTTCCAGTGTTACTTTATGTACTTTGGTGTCCTTATCACCTTCTGCAAACTGCACTTGCACTCTCCATACATAGCCAAGTAGGATCTGTTGGCCTATTCCCACCTCAAAAAGATTTGGCTCTGTAGAATTTGAAAACAGTTCTCTGTGGCTGAAACTGAAACCTGTTATACATTACAACTGGCTTTGATACATAACCTGGCAGATCGAATAAAACTGTGAATGTAACTACAATCATTCTGCTTCAGAGATTCATCATCTTTTACTGTCCTGGTGTTCAAAACTGTTCTTGTCTCGGTGTGATTTATAAATATCCTAAAAGCTTTGTCAAAGCTCATGCAACACAATAAACCTTAGGAAATTGTGTTTTGTTATCATATGTGAAAAAATATGAGCCCAAATGTGGTAAAAGTGATGATTTGAACATTGCAGGGTTTTGTAACTCACCGAGGTTCTTGTGCCATGTCTTGCAGGTCTGAGTGATCCAACACTGAACAGTTAGGTTGCTCAAGGACCTCCCTCACCAGGCTACAAAAGACCATGATTTGCATCTGGACTTCAGCTGCTGTGAGCTGCTGTACCAGGACAAGATGATCCTCCTCACTATACTGATATTTCTCAGTCACTTCAAGTACGGAGTAAGTCCATCACTGAATTTCTCCCTCCCTCTGATGTTGTATTATGCTTTAAACTATCTGGATATGTTAGCACATTTATCTGCATTACCATAAAGCACACAGTTATTTATGCCCTATTTATACTGCTGGAAGTGAAGTGATATCACTTCCAATAGTAGTACAGAGCATGGGATTGTGAAACCTGATATTATACTCTGTGCTCCTCATTCAATCAGTCAGGGCTGTAAAAAAATAAATAAGAGCCTGCGCAGAATTCCAAATTTGGGTGTTAATGTTATTAAAGAGCCTGTCATATACTGACTGCTAATAGCAGTAAAAAAAGGGCCTTTGAAATTTTTTTGGAACCAATGGATTGCTGAGAAAAAAACATGTGACCATTGGATAGTGGAGCTGACCTGAATTTACATTGTTGTGTTAATACCATTGGCTGTGCGAATACTGTGATGGGGCTGTGCGAATACTACGATGGGGCTGTGTGAATACTGCAATGGGGCTGTGCGAATACAGTGATGGGGCTATGCGAATACTGCGATGGGGCTGTGCGAGTAGGTTGTAGTGGGGAAATTCAAAGTGCTCCCAAAAAACGCTTCTTCCCCATTGCTGAATTCCAATGCGATTCAGGAGCAATTTGAGCTAGGCTCATACAATGAACCATTCAATTTTACGATGCTAAAACAGTTTGCTGGAAAACAGTGAAATATAAGCACAGAATTAGATAAATTTAATCTCAAATTAGAATCAATAATTTTGCAAATTGATGCAGGAAGTTTGTGTCTATTGCCTTCACAGAATTCTAAAGCATCAGCACAGGGTATATCTGGCTGGTAATTTATATTCTTGGTTATGTGTCAATTCGATGCAATGCAAAAAGCACATTGAAAAACCAAACTTTTAAAATTTGAGTCAACGATCCTACAAAAACTTTGTTACAAAATATCTTGCTAATAAAAATCAACAAATTCAAATACTGGTTACAGCAGTATTGCACATGCGTGTCAGTATGCATGACAAATGCCCTGTTTTGCGGAGCATGGAAGGTATGAAGTCAGCAATATATCTTGGGGATTCTGTCTTGCAATGTTCTACTTCAGAACTGGTTTGACTTCAGAAGCCTGCAGTAAAACTGCAGCTTTTTTAAAATCAGGTCCATGTTGTACAGTAGCACCGTCTTCATGAAATATTATTGTTTGCAAACAATGTGATAATAATAGTGTTGAAATATTTAGCACATCAGTTGTGAGCAATGCTGTCATAAAGAAAATGACATGTAGCTTTTATGGATCTTCTTCCTTCCCAATCAAATAAGGGCCTTTCCAAGGACTTTACATGAAGACAGTGGATCTTTAATATTTATTGCTGGAGGCATCCTTCCAGCAATCACTATGTTCCTTTATCCTGGGCTTAGGCTGTCGATTGACCTGTGACAGTACTTCTGTCATCGCAGACTGAATCGCCTGAAAAAGAGGCAGTCGACTTTGGGGTGTGCAGCTGCATGTCACCAACCACTGCTATTATTCCCAGCTGCTGAATGGAAGTTGTTAATGGATTCATTGACAGGAACGTGTGGAAGCAGTAAACTCCCTGACATGTCCTTGTACCCAAACCTGGAGGATTCACCACAATGTTTTTTTCACATCCATCTTATGTTCCTATATTTTGAGTGTATAAAAAATGGATAGTGGTCGTATGTACACTTATGATTACCAAAAACAAAATATAACTTGTATAAATTTGCAGGTAATAGAATAAACTGCTTAGAAATTACGTAAGACACCCTGTAGTATTTCCTTCCACAAATGTGTGATATGTATATTTACAGATTTCTAGAACAAACACAAATGTATCAGAGATAACTATTCATTGTATCTTGATGCTATCTCACTAATTCTGTTGGCCATTCCTATCTTCACAGATTATGTTGCATGTCAATGGAACTGTGGATGAAAAAGGAGCCTGCAGTTGCTCTGTTTATCTTCCTGATAACATTTTCCCAGTACAGAGAGTTGAACAGCTGGAGTTCACATCTCAGCACCTCTATGCCAGCATGCAAACGGAAATTGTCAAGGTAACATATCAAGGATCCCTTTGAGAACAGAATTCCCTTATTATTTTGCAGCATGTTCAGATCCCTTGCACAGAATTATAACAGCATACATTTTCAATGTCAGTGAAATACAGAGAACAAAGCATGTCTTTTGATACTTCTTGCTAAAAAAAAGTTTATTAAGTCTATTGCGTATTGATTCCAAAGGCTTCAATATTTAGTTATCAACACTTATTTTTCTAATAGGATTTGTGGTTGTAAATCGTTTTTTACCCCTTGCTGATTACACTTCCACTTGTAGCACCAAACAAGATATATGTCAAATTCTAACAGAAATGAGAAAAATACTTTAATAATTGAAATAGGATGAAAGAAATCACAACAAAATGTATTAAAACACCACATATTTCATCAGGGAGGCTGCTTGTGGCTTATAAATGTGAAGAATCAAACTTAGCAGCTGACAAGCAGGTATTTAGATCCCGGTATTCATTTTACCAAACTTCTTGACACATTTGTTGAAATTTCTTTCCATTTGCTTAAGTGTTTTGCAGGTCACACTGTGCCTGAAAATTGCAAGCAGCTGACTTTGTTCCAAGCCTCTGCTAATACCACTCCTGAGCCAGTCACTTAGAGAACATTGATTAAGAATTATTCTTCTCTTTCCTCTCCCTGTGCAGAGTATTGTCTTTGAATTTACCCTGATGGCATTGTTGAGATTGACAGGGCTAGATGGGCCAGAATCCATGTCAGATTGGCTCATTTGGTAGGATTCTCACTCCAGAAGCTTGTGGGCTCAAGCCACCATCATCAGGGCTTTGAACTCACAGTCTAGGCTGGCACTTTAGTGCTCTGGAGTGCCCCGCAGTATTTGGCACTGAATTGTTAGAAGTGCTGCCCTTCAAATGAGAGGGCAATTAAGAACTGGAACAGGTTGCCAGGAAGTGTGGTTCAGGCCAAGATACTGGACATTTAAATAACAACTTGTTGCTGAGACAGGAAGACGGCAGGGTAGGTATTCTGGAAAGAACAGATGGAGATCAAAGATTCTTACTCATCTGAAACAATCTTGTGATCTTGTGATTTATCCTCCTCCAGCTGAACTGGCTCCAAGGTGAGATGCTTGGCAACGGAATGTTAGAATCGAGTCAGTTCCCTGTGGTGGTCTTGGTAGTCTGAATCCTGAGCAATTAGATTCCTTCCACTCAGCTCCTGTTAAACATTTAAACCAAAGCTGTAACAGATCCTAGCTGGCTAAGGAATGGAAAACTTACCAGCCTGTGCTTTCAATGGCAAGCTATGTGGTTTTAGTTAGTTAAACTCCAGTAATACTCCAACTCACATTCTAAACCTTGTCTCTTCCCAATGCCTAATAGTCTCTAGAATTAATAGCTGGAGTGCATCCCTCTGGGGAAAGAGTGTGCATTTCCAGTCCAGATGTAGAAATTTCCAAGTGTAGATGGCATATGAAGAATATTCATCTTAATATGGATACTCTTTAGCATGGTAGTGGGTTTCTGCATGCGTCAAAATAAATTGTGATCTTGTGAGATGGTAAACCGAGAAGAGTTCAGATGCAATGCTTTAAGATCCCAGGAAACTATTTGATAAGAGAAAGGAAATTCTCCCAGTATCTTAGCCGCAAATCCTCCTGATGAATGTGGAGGATTTGGGACATGTCATTCAGTGTCCATTCAGTGGGACATTACTGTGTGCCTACAACTACACTTCACAACAATTACTTGGAAAATATTCTGATATCACAGACACAACTTAAAATGAAAGACCTCTGGTCTTTCATTTGAATTGTTTTTTAACAAAAGCTGTTACTGTGAAACTGCGAAGGGGATAATATCACATATTACATTGCCCCCAACCTCGGGTCCCCTGAATACGCATTGGGATAATGCTGGAGTTTTAATCAGTTAAAACTGCATAGCTTACCGTTTCATGCTGAACCACAAATACTGACTTTAAGAAACTGAGACTTGCATTCCTGAGAAACAATGTTCTGAACTGAAAGGTACTAAAATGATTAGAAAATACAAATTTGCAGTAAGTGAGATAGAGTGTTTTGAAAATAAATCACCTGAGTTGTTTAAATTGTGAAACAGGAAGAATGCTCTGAGATTATTATTATTATAATCTGTGTGGTGTGGCGTGTCTGAGTATATGGTACAGCAGGTACAACATTGAGCCCCTTTCTCCTGCACTTTGGCAATAAATGTAATGGAATTTTAAATTATAAATAACGTTCTGCATGAAAAATGAAATTATTCTTTTGAAATGGCTTTGGATTTATTTATAAGCCTGTGGAAACAAATTTCAACAGAAATAAATGTGTTAAAGTTACTGAATGAAGCAGAATAGTGATCAGCTCACATGAGCAAATTCACTGCAGTGAAGCAAATGGAGTCGAAAAGTTCCTATAATTTCAATTTTAAAAGCAGCTCTGAACATGTTTGAAAGGATTGTGTGGTGACCCATCTATTAATAGATACAGTGCGGGATCATGATGGTTCTACTTGGGGATTTTGAACTATTTAAAGTTGTGTTGGCTTCATGCTTAACTCGGACCCTGCTCTCTCACAGATTCCTTGTGTTCATGAATTATACAGTCACCAACATCACCACTGACAGTAACAAACCCAGATACTGACTGTTAAAAAGTTAGGTAATAGTAGGAAACCAAAAATATGTTGAATACTGAATGACCTTTCAGCCTGGCCTACTTAAATGTTCTGATTGAATTTGACAGATTCATGAATATGCATCCAAAATTGAACTGTATGAAAAACAACTCCAGAATATCACTTTGACTGTAAGGACAATGGAGGTGACCAACATTTTTTACACTGAGCTGGACTTTGACCTCCTGAAAGTGGAAATCACAGAGTTAGAATCCCTGGTTGCTGAGCTAAAGAAAACAGTAAATGGGAGCAGTGTCCTCATTGATCGCATTTTCTTGGAGGTAAGTGTAATCAATAACAAAATTTGTGTCAACTGTCAATTAACATGAATATGTGAACTTGACAGATGAAATAAATAACCAGCTGGGTGCAGACTTCAGCAGAATCACAGAATTTTGTTGAGGGTCAGACTAACCTCCAATTAGTGATTCCCATGGTTGCTGAATGATATGTTTTCAAAAACATTTAGGTGGCTTTAGTGGGTAAAGGTAGCACAATGCAACAATATAGCCTGAGAAGCCATGGATTAGAATCCTAGTGTACACAAATTAGCTGGCCTCAGCTATGGTAGCAGATGAGGTGCTAACTCTGGTCTCTGCATCCATGAGCTCAGAACAAAAAAATCAGCCAGGGTTCCTCCTACCTGAACACTAAAGACGCTGCAAGGGATACATGGGTGGAGTGGTTCAGTTGTGATCAATAGCTGCTCCTACCTTCAATAAAGGGAGAAACTAAAAGGGACCTTGATTGTGAGGAAAGGCTAGAGAGGCTGGGATTATTCTCATTGGGGCAGAGAAGGTTACGAGGAGACCTAATAGAGGTCTTCAAAATTATGAGGGGATTTGATAGGTTAGAAAGGGAAAAACTGTTTCCACTGGTGGGTGTGTCGGTGATTCGAAGTCACAGATTCAAAATAGTATCTAAAAGAAGCTGAGGGGAGATGAGAAGAAATTTTTTCACGCAGCGAGTTGTTCGAATCTGGACAGCATTGCCTGAAAGGGTGGTCGAGGCTGATTCGCTAACTACTTTAAAAACGCGGTGGACGGGTATTTGAGGAGGACGAGTTTGCAGGGTTATGGGGAAAGGGCTGGGGAGTGGGATTGACATTATATTGCTCTTTTCAAAGAGCCGGCACAGACTCGATGGGCCGAATGGTCTCTTTTTGTGCTGTACGATTCTATGATAATGCCCCTCATACAGGGTAGTGTTCCAGAGCACTTAACAGTGGCGGAGCATGACTCCAAGCTGGGGGGGAGGAGAAGGTGAACATAGAACCAGTTGAATAGGTCTTCAGGCTCTACCTGATAAGGGGGAAGGAAGGGACAAAGCAAGGGGATAGAGGAAGAATGTTCCAGTGTTTCCGGGCGTAGTGGTTGAAAGCACGGCCATCAATGATGGAACTGAGGGCACGAGGGACATGCAGAAGGCCGGAGCCAGTTGAATAGAGGCTGTCCGTTGGGGGGTGAGCAGATCTGTGAGATAGGGAGGTGCCAGGGCATAAAGGGATTTGAAAATGAGTGTGAGGATCTTGAAATCGACTTACTTGGTGATGGGGAGCCAGTGAAGCTTGGCTAGAATTGGTGTGATTGTGTACAGATAATAATATTAACAGAGATCCAGAGATCTCAAAGTGCTACATAGGATATATTGAAAAGTGGATTGACACTATTCCAATAGTTATTGCCGTTTGCAAAGTTGACAATTCCCCAAAGATACCCTATGTAAGTCTCTTCCTGGATCGTGCACCTCATCCGATGCCAGTGTCCAATTATCCTACTTCCTGCATTCCCTTCACCACATGGGGCCACATGAGACAAACGGAATGTTTAGTCTGTTGTGCAATATTCCTTCCCTTTTTACGTAAGTATAGTACAGAATATAACATCAAACAGATGATGCATCCAAGATTTTAGAATGTACTTGTTTCTTGATCTTTTGGCCTGCCAAGAAAATCTCCTGTTGAGATTTGCTTGTGGTACAGCGCCACAACTGAAGCTCCCAATAATGCATTATGCGAAGATCGACCTCCTGGCAGGAGCTTTGCCTTCAGCCCGCTGTTAGCTGGGATCAGGATTGCAGTATTTCCGATCTGAGGAGTTTGATCTGCCCTCACAAAGATGAAGTGGAAATACTGGAATACGGAGCTAGCTGGAGCACTTGGTCACTAGGCTCAGGCTGGACTTGCCCGGCCAGCGAGGTGATCCAGTCACCTGACTTGCTTGGGTGGTCGTGAAGATTGGTAACAGGTCTGCATCATCCTTTGACGATTTGCAGCTCAGAGAGTTTAGGCGGGAAGGTCTGGGCGGAGTAAGGCCTAACCTCACTCACCAAAAAAAAAAATTATGAATGTACTGCTTGCGAATGACCAGCTTGAAGGTTAATTGTTTCAAATTGATGAGTTCTTACACTAATGATGACAAAATATTTTTTTTAGATATTTTGAACTTGACGTTTTCAAATTACTTTCATGTGACATTTCACATCCTTTTATCTGACTGCAGGAAATCATATTGCGATTAATCTTCCGTGGAAATACACAGATGGGACATTGCTGAGTTGAATCCATTCACCCTCACTGAAATATTTGATTTTACTGCAGGCGATATTGTTTACTTCATGCACAGCAAGAGATGCTCTTCCAGCCAGGAAATGCTAATTTACCTGGTTGCTTGTTTCTCAATAAATAATGCTGCCTAAATTGATTTATAAGGAAACAGTATTCTCTTCAACTGGCTAGCCCAGGGTTAGACAGAAAGACTCAAATACTTAAAAATGTATTTTACTTCTATTTCAGATTGAAAATATATCCATTGCGGTGACCCTACTTGAAAAATTTGATAAAAATAATATCCTTGAAATACGCAGAGAAATTGCTGCTCTGAGAATAAAATTGAAGAAATGCGAGGAAGACAGAAGCCAAACAACAAATAACTCAACAAATCCAACAATCGAATATGGTTGGTATTCCTTTTATTTTGCTGATCCTAATAGAATATGTTATTTTATAAACTAACTCAATACTCTTAGATAACAGTGATATCAACAACATGTATTTTACATAGTGCCCTTCATGGGATGGGGGGCAGACATCTCAGAGCTCTTAAATATCAGGGTATGCAGTTCACAGCATTTGGAACATGCATGTATAATGATCCTTTGAAATATAATACAAAATTACATTTGCATAGCGCCTTTCACGTCAGGAGGACGTCTCAAGGTACCCGACATTCAGGGATTTGGACCTGAGCAGGGATTTGTGGATAATGGAGGGGGAGGGCAAGGAGGGTAGGAGGATGGCCAAAGGCATGGCCAAAGGGGAGGGCCTTGAGACGTCTTAAAGGAGGCAAGGGAGGGAGCAAAGCAAAGGGAATGTGGGATGGAGTTCCAAAGGGTGGGGGCAGAGAGGTTGAAGGCCCGATCACTGATTTGGGCAAGCTGGGCAGGGGACATGGAGCAGGCTGGGGTCTGCGGACAAGTTAATAAGGAGTTAGCAGGCCATAGAGGTAGGAAGGGGTAAGGCCTTGGAAGGCCTTGAAGACAAGGATGAGGATTTTGATCTCTATCCTCTGAGGCATGTGGAGCCTGGTGAGAATGGGGGTGATGGGGTTATGGAACCTGGTATGGCAGAGTTCTGAATGATCTGCAGCTTGTGGAAGAGTTGGGAAGGTCGACAAGCAGGGAGTTGGCGTAGTCGAGCCCAGATGTGATGAACACGTGTATGAGTGTTTCAACGGCTTGAGGGCAGAGGCTGTGGCAGAGCCAGGCAATGTTTTGGAGATGGGGGAAGGCAGAGAGGGTCATGGCAAGGATGTGGGGGAGAAAGGACAGTTGAGGGTCAAACAAGATGCTTAGGTTCCGGACTGGCTCAGTGAGGTGGAGTGTGCATCTTTGGATGGTGATGCTGTCAGTGCCTGAGTTGCGGAGTCGCTGACGGGAGCCAATCAGGAGGGCCTCGGTCTTGTTGATGTTCAACTGAAAAAAGTTAGCTCTCATCCAGGACTTGATGTCTGACAGACATTCTGTCAGCACAGCAATGGTCCTGCAGTCAGGGGTGGAGGCAGAGAGATAGAGTTGGGTGTCATCCGTATACGTGTGGAAGTTGACCTCATGTCTGCGGATGATGTCACCAAGAGAGAGCATGTGCAAGTTGAAGAGGAGAGGACCAAGGACAGAGCCATGAGGAACACAGCACGAAACAGCGGAGAAACCCAAATGATTTTAAATGGAATGGTAACTTTTGATTCTACCTGGAACCTGTGAGGGATGTTGATACATTGCATGCAGCATGAAATGTACCCACGCAGGTCAGGAAACTGCATTCTGAATTTCTTCAAAGAGGACTGAGTGGCACAATGTGTTTACATCTTCCACATCTGAGACCTGGGTTTGAATCTGGGCCAGGTAATTGGGATATAGATTCCTCCTACCTGATGGCTGTGAAGGGTTGTCAGTGAAGTTAGTTCCAGAAGTGTATTCCTAGTTAAGAGAAAGTGTGTTTAGCACAGCACAAATCTTGTATTCAGTTGGGTATTAATATGAACAGGGTGAAATTATCCAGAAAGGTCGTTGAGAATAAAATTCGAGGAAAATAGAAATAAACCCTTTTATAGTAAAGGGTCATCTTCTGGGGTTGTAGTTAAGATGCAATTTTAGAGCAATACAGGTGAAGTCCTGGATTACAACTAACCTGTAACATACCTGATGGAATGTACTTATTACTTTTAAAGGATCCATAAGCACTTTGAGACGTCGAGAAGACGTGAAAAGCGCTACATCAAATGCAAGGATTATTATTATTAAATTATTATTATAATGGAAAATTAACTATAAGCACTATTCAAAAAGAGATTTTTTCCAGTGTCCAGGCCAAAAATCCTCCAGACATAAAATCAATTATTCACTTCACAGTTGTTTGTGGGACACAGGTGTGTGCAAATTGACTGCTGTGTTTACCTACAAATGCAAGGATTATTATTTATTATCTTTATTTTTTTTCTACTTACAACAGGAAGCTGCAACCACGGTGAACTTCAAAATGTGAACAAACCTGTTGTAATCCAATTGAATTGGAGAGGATTCAGTTACAAATATGGTACTTGGGGGAAAGATCCCAGTCCTCTTTCTGAAGATAAGGAACTGTACTGGGTTGCACCATTAGCAACCAATGCAAGATACCTGGACGCTGTTCGGCTGCATAAGTCATATGATGACTTATTGCTCCAAAGAAATTTTCAAACATTTACCGTTTACCGTGGAACAGGTAGTGGAGCTGTAGTGTATAAGAACTCCATGTACTACAACTGCTATGATTCGGCAGATATGTGTAAATTAAATGTATCCTCCAAAAGTATTGTTGTCCGCAAAACACTGATGAGAGCAACTTATAACAATAGGTTTTCATATTCTGGAGTAGATTGGCAGGACCTAGATTTTGAAGTAGATGAGAATGGCCTTTGGGTGATATATTCTACTGAGGAAAGTTCAGGGGATATAGTGATCAGTAAGCTCAATGAAACTTCACTTGATGTTGAAAATACTTGGACAACTAACTTATTCAAGCCTGCTGTAAGTAATGCATTTATAGCATGTGGCATCCTTTATGCGGTAAGGCCAATCAGCACACGAAAAGAAGAAATATTTTATACGTTCAATACCAAAACAAACAAGGAAGGTAAGGTTAGTATTATAATAGATAAAATACTGGAAAAAATACAGTCTCTGACTTATAATCCTTCTGAACATAAATTGTACGTGTACAACGATGGGTATCTTGTTACATATGATATGACATTTTCTCCTTTTGCTTAACATGCTAAAGATTAATACTGCCACACTCTAGTGGTTATAAGTGGGTGCTTGATAAAATAAATTTGGCTGATATATATTCTATATCATATTTTTTAAACTTGATAAAAAATAAACATGATACTGAATAGAATTTAAATGCATTAGAAAGGACTAAAAGTAATTGGGAATTTAGCCATGTATCATTATTTTGCTAGCTTTCATTTACATAGGCATTCACCTTATCAATATCTGTAAATTGTGGACGTGGGGAAACAAGTGGGTGGAGACAGAACCTACTGAAGTCTCAAATCGGAGACCAAAAGAAAAGGATTAAACGCACCACATTGTGGGAGTATCTATGACTATCTCAGATAAAGCCTTAAAGAATTGCATTACCTCCATCTGATATCTGCCAGATAACATTGCCAAAGGCTCTTCGCTATTGAGCTATGCTAACTTTATGTTTCTACTGAAAATATATCACTTTCAGCAACAGATGAAGATGGATTGAAAAGCCTAATTTATATTTCTTGATCCTTATTATTTAGGCAGAAGCTTGCTAAAACCCAATATTGAAGATGCACAGAGGCTGAAATATGATGTTAGGTTTGAGAACTGGACACATGATTGTCTCTTTAGTAGCATTTAAAATATTATCTGTTATACCTCCAAGAACTTCTAAGGGATTGATTAATTCATACCTATTGTGTTTAAAAACACTGCCAAAATCACTGCCTCTAAATGGTGTCAGAACCTGATTTCTATACAATTGACTCCCAAATGATGCTGATCAAACCAGATTTCTACTGGACTGCTTATTGGAAATAAATGTGATTCACTGCAAACAATTCAATGTAAACACACATTAGTATAAAGAATTAGGTATCAGTGGTAGTTGTACACATTGAAACACATTTATAAACCTGCCACCAGAAGTATTTTTTTCCCCGACAGAATTCTGACTGGTTAAACAAAGACGACTTTCTGTGCTTGGCTACAGCACCCTTGCAAATGTTTACAATAGTTAAGTACTGTAAACGTTGACAGGCTGTGACTCTATTGAAAACCTGATTTATGAAATAACTGTAGTCCAATTAACCTTAAACAATACCAACAATGTAATGGTGACAAGCATTATTGTGATATATTTCAGTGCTGGCCTTTGCAATAGAATGAATGGTTCCAATGATTGTTTAAAATTCAATAAAGATTTTACTCCAAACTTAATGTGGTGATCTCTATTAAAATTAAATTATAATTTGCTTAGAATAAAAAACAATTTAAGTTTTTACTATTTACCTGATAAAATGCTTTTGAATACATCATTTGTTTCAGTCAAATATCCAGAGTCTTTTATGAACATTTACTTGAACTTTTAACTCTTTCAATCTCCATGGTTGCACACTTCAATTCACCAAGCCAGTCAGGAACCTAGGTATCTTGTTCAACCCTCAACTATCTTTTCTTCCCCACATCCAAGCCATGACCCGCTCTGCCTTCCCTCACCTCCGTAACATCGCCCGACTCCGCCACTACCTCACCTCTCAGGCCGCTGAAACTCTTGTTCATGCCTTCATCACCTCCAGGCTCGACTATGCAAATGCCCTGCTTGTCGGCCTTCCCAACTCCTCCCTCCACAGGCTGCAGATAATCCAGAACTCTGCAGCCCGTGTCCTCTCCCGCAACAAACTCCGTGACCCCATCTCTCCCATTCTCACCCGACCCCATTGGCTCCCTGTCCTTCAGAGGATCCAGTTCAAGATCCTGGTCCTCACCTAAAAGCCCTCCATGGCCTCGTCCCACCCTATTTCTGCGACCTCCTAACCCTCTACTAACCCGCCTGCTCCCTTCACTCAGCCGGCTCTGGCCTGCTCCACATCCCCCGACCCACCCGCCCCACCATTGGTGGGAGAGCCTTCAGCCACTCTGCCCCCAACCTTTGGAATTCCATCCCCCAATCACTCTGCCTCACCCCATCCTTAGCCTCCTTCAAGTCCCGCTCAAGACCCTCCTCTTTGACCATGCCATCGGCCACCTCCCTTCTCCCTTCCTGACCCCAGCTCGGGTCTGAAATGCTGTACACTGTCCAGTGCCTTGAGACGTCCTCCCGACGTGAAAGGCGCTATACAAATGTAATCTTGTTGTTGTTGTTTCAAGGTGTTCATTCAAGTTCAACATGTGTGCTCTTCATGAAAAATTTGCAGCAGCTAATTGCAATCAGAATCACAACCTAGCAAAGTGAAAACCCAACATAGCTCATAAATTGAGAACGGCAATTAATTCATTGACATTAAAATATAAGTTAATTTGCAACAGCAACAATCATTTATGTTTAACTAGCACCCATTGCATAGGAAAGCATCTTGGAGCACTTGAAATTTGCTAACTCCCTCTATTCACATGTACCACTTCTAATATTTTCCTGAAATTCTTGAATGCATCATGGGATGTATTCATCAATTGTCAATAAATGTACCAATTTTAGTAAGAAGCGTCCATTCCAAGCACATCCTATCAAGGGCAATGCAATTATTGACGTATGTTTTCTGAATCAATGTTGAATGTACCCCTGTTTAACTGGTAGTTTTCTGTAAGTAAATGTGAATTTGTTGCTATTGTCTTTTCATTGAATGTCTAGACATCAGCACTCAATCAGCCTACTCCTTATATTTAAGGAAAAAGCATTAACTAGGAGCGTGCTTTCAAGTTGGTGCTTGAACCCAATGAGTAGATTACTGCCTTCAATACATAGTCAAACTTCATTTATTGTTTTACAAAATATGCAGCTTTACACTCACTTTTCCGATACTTCCCATTTAAAGTTTTAGTGCCAGAGTCAGAGATCACAGTTTCAATTCAGATTAATGCCACTGGTTGAAGTTCAAACAATATGTTTCTAAGTGTAAATGTGCATATGTGAGTTAGCTCAGAAAGGTGCCAGTTGACAGGTAGTGACGAACATGAAACTATTTCTTCAGTTCTGGATCTGCCATAACCTCAAATCCGGGAATGCATCAAAATCTTTTGTACTGGCATGAATGAGATGGTTAAGTTTTATTTATTTTTCCACAGTTATCGATCTTATTTTGCTCATTCATTCTGTAATGTTAGGTCACAAAATGAGATTTATTTTAGTTTTACAATATGGGATAACATATTAAAACTAAAACTAGACATACAATACAAAATTACATTTGTATATGTTGGGAGGTCGTCCCAAGGTGCTGGACAGTCAGAGATTTGAACTCGAGCTGGGGGTCAGGATCGGAGAGGGTGGAGGCAGAGAGGGTAGGAGGGTGGCTGTAGGTGTGGTTGAAGAAACCGTTTTTGAAATGCGCCTTGAAGGAGGCAAGGGAGAGAGCGAGGCAAAGGGGATGGTGTTCCAAGAAGTGGAAGCAGAAAGGCTGAAGGCTCGACCGCCAATGGTGGGGCGGGCCGGGTGGGGGACGTGGAGCAGGCCACATGAGGAATAGATGAGTGATAGATTTAGATTTTTGTTCTTATCACAGTTTGGTGCAGCACAGAGTTGATACAGAATAAAATGCCCTCTACATTTCTGTCCCAGTACAATCCTAATGGAAAAAAAGTAGTCACACTAACAAAAAAAATTGCAATGCAAATTGCGCACAGAATCGATGGATTTTCCAAGAAAAAAAGACACTTTATAATGATCAGCTTTCCATTCTCTCTCTGGAATTATTTGGGTAAAATAAGCAGTGTTTCATAAGTGATTTGATACGATACATATCAAATCAGTTTTGAAATGCCACATATTTTGCAAAACAGTGTTATGTCAGTGCACAAGATCGGCAGTCTCACAGCTCCATTAAATCTGCCCAGTTTATGGTAATACTGTAATTGTTGAAAATGGGCTAAAGTTGAAAAATATATAACATTTACTGCACTTCAAAGCAATTTTTGGTTAAGCACTTTGAGATGTTTCATGTGATAAAGCGTTATATTAAATGCAAGTATTATTAAAATCTAAATAATTGCTGTGAAAATATTCATTAACTCATTCCTTGCTTTAGTTTCACACAGAGCAGATACAGTTATTGTGTATAGCAGTATCCACCATCACAGTAGTTCAAATTGTTTTCTTAATTTAATTTCATTGACCCAAAAGAGCTATTTAAATTAAATTGTATTATAAGTCAAACATTTAAAATATTGGAACACTTTTAAAGAGAATGACCAGTGTAGGATTACTTATATTTATTTTGGTCTTTTACAGTGTTATACATTTCCATATCACTAACTCCCTAAATGGCTAGTGCAGAGTGACTGTAGTGATCTGATGTATTAGATTCCATCATGCAACACACTTCTTAAGCTTATATTTTTTACTCCTATCACCTATAGAAGTACCACCTATCATCAATACATTTTAGCATTTTAGACTGATTTTGCTGAAATCAGAATCTCCTATAATCGAAACTCCTATAATTTTTTTTGTCTTCAGGTAACAAATAACTAAATTGAGCTGATGTATTGCATTGCATTTAAAGTGGAAGCTTTCTCTGAAATTCCACCAGTCCCTTTTGAATACTCCTGAGTGGCTGTGTGAGTTCATTGTTCTTCCATGCATACTGGGAAGCAGCTGGGAGATGTTTTATTAGTGATGTGCAGAGGCATCACATTGTGAGGAAAACTGCAAAGGTGAGACAAGAACTAGTTTTTTTAAACTAAGTATAACAGTCTTTCTCTCTCTGTTTCTTTCACATACAGACAATTTAATATTCCTCACATGCTATCATTTGTTAATGAACGAGATAAAGATCATTTTGCCATGATATGTTTTATGCTAATGTGATTTCTATTCAACATAGTGCCAATTTTTGGGGTATCAGCCAGGTGAGAAATTTGACACATGCAGAAACCCATCACCATGCTTAAGAGTATCCAAACCAAACTGAGAATTCCATGCATCCAACCTACATATGGAAATTCCAGAGATAGATTGTTGGAATGAAATTTGCACTCTCTCCCTGGAGGGACTCATTCTGCTTACCTAATTCCGG